TAAAAATTTATTTTAGATCTTATACTTAATTTAGAAATTTAGAACTACTTACATATATAGAAATTTCAAAATAAAAAAAAAAAATAAATTGTTTTTGTTTACATTATTTCATGTGAAATCATTATTATATTTCGAATAAAACAAAAAGAAAATGTTGGGAAATCATCGAAAACAATGTTATGAGTATTGTATATTCATAAAAATGTACATACATACATTATAATCTAAAAGGAATTAAAACAATTCGCATAATCGCAATTCGAAAATCCTAAAATACAATAATAAAAATATTCTCTTTATATTATTATAAAAGTTGCTGTCATTCACTACTTATATTGCTGTAAAATGATAACAGTAGTGATATGATAATAAACAAGAAAAAGAAAAATTGAGCAAGAAAGAAGGAATAGAGAACTAAAAATAAAATGATATCGTAAAATACAATGTTTTGATAATGACTGATTGACTCTGCCTGATTAACTTTTGTTTAAAATTGTGTTTTTCTTATTTCATTTTATTTTCGTATTTTTAATGTGGAGCTAAGAGCAATAAATAGCAGGTATATAATATATTATAATTTATTATTGTACACCACCGAAAATAGTATTTATTTTGTTTACCATTCCTCACAGAATAAAATGATTATCAGAAGAATGAAAAATACAAAAATATGTAATAATAATAATCTGCGAGTAGATGGCTCTCATTTTTGTTTTTACTTTTATTTTGACAAGTTTTTTGTTCCCTTCCTATTCCTATCGTCATTGTTGCTATTTCTCTTTTATGTTTTTATTCCTTAAAATGTTAAATTTGTGCTTATGAATGCTATATAACACTTGATGCTTCTGTTATTGCTAATTTTTTTTTTGTCTTTTTTTAATTTGATTATCCTTTTTTTGTTAGGTAAGTAAAGTAGGTAAAGGAAACTACTAATAAAAATCATGATAATAGCTTGTTGTTTTTTGCTTTAGGTGTAGAGATAAGTAAAGAGAGAATTGAAATTTTTTTTTTAATTTTTTTCTTATTGAAAAAAAAAAAGGAAATTTTTATTTGAATGAAAACGGGCAATGAAACAATAAAAATAAAATGAGAAAAAAATGAACGAATGAATTAAAGAATGACGTTTCAACTCAAACCTAACGGTGTACAGGTGAAGTTTACAAATTCGATATTTTCTCTGCCTAATAAATAAATGTGTGCGTTGATTATTATAAACGTGCGAATGAAGTTTTTTTTTAAAGAAGTTTAATTTTCTTATCGTTCACGATAACGTTATTATTATTTTTAATTTTTCTTCAGTTTTCGAATTCTCTCTATTGTTTTTTTCTTTTAGTTCTGTATTTTGTCGCAACTTTTATAAATATTTAGCGTAAAAGTTATGCAACAGGGTATCGTAATTTTTTTCTTCTTATATGTATTATTCTATGTAGTGTAAATAAATACACACGTACTTCTATTAAATACAAAATTTTTATATATTGAAAGCAGGTGCAAAATACATATGTGTTACAATAGGCTAAAAAGATAATAAAGAAAACCGATATCATACTAAACTTATTAGTTTATTATATAGTTCTTTTGAAAATTTCTGTTATACTAGTGTCTCTTTAGTAGAAATATTCTTCAGCTAGGTAACTTTTATTCAAAGTAAAAGGAACAAGAGAAAAAATATCGACAGCAATTTTTGTAATTTATAAAATTATATACGTGTTAGCTAATTGCTTGCTTAACTAGAATATATGTATACGTACATATATTATAAATTCAATGTGCAATAGTACGGACAATAATGTGTTATAGCACATTTGTATCTTTATTATAAATTAATATTCTTAGATATAAAAAAAATTAATGCAAAGTGTATTTTTTTTTAATTCTAAAGAAAAAAAAACATAAAAACCACGACTCTTATTAGAATTTATGATTGTGCTAAATTTAATAGATTTATTTAAGCTTTTAATTAATTAAACATTATGTATGCATTCTTATAAGATTTTCAATTAAATTTATAATATACTGGACATGTACATACTTTACAATGCTTATACATATGTAGGTATATACACTTTTGCATATTTAGTACTTACCATTCAGTTAGGTAACGAAAATCTATATACTATATATTTGGTAAGTAGAAGGAGCTTAAATGTAAGTGAAAAAATTGTGAAAATTGCGGATTTTTATCCAAATACTCACATTAAGTCTGTATTATATACTATATGCAAGTCATTCAAATCGAATTATTCTACGAATTTAGGCTTAAATTTAAATTTAAAATGGAAATATATAAGATATTTAAGTAATACAGTAAATATTTACGCAAAAAGTATATGCGTTAATGACATGATAACCTAGGGGCATTAAAAAAAGTTTCAAGCAAGCTTCTTCTCGGGAGTTAATTATATAGAGTAGACTCAACGTCAAAATTATCAAATAATATCGTATGAATTTTTAATATTTTAATAATATCGTATTTGTTATAGATTGTATTTAGGTGTTAGAACTGACTATGATAAATTTCGCTTCAATCTTAATTATCCTTTTGATATTAATACATACATATATATTTTCCTAAGAACTACAAATACGTGTATTTTTTAAAAACAAATTACAAGTTTCATATTTTCATACAAATTTTAATTATTTGGTTAAATGCTCAATTAAGAAGTTCAACTTTACAAAAGAAGAAATTAATTTCGTGAAAAACTTGCAATTGTGTAGTATGTGAGTATATTTATGTGCCTTAAAAAATTAATTTTTTATTCTAAATCAAAATTATATTTTATACAAAAATTAGAATAGAAACAAAAATATATTACCTTTATTTATTCAAAAAATTTTCTTTTTAGTTAATTTTAAATATTCTCATTTAACCATTGAGTTTAATTGAAATTATTTGAATGAAATAAACTGAAAACTTTTTTATGGGATTGGAAAAAACAAAATTTATTTAAAATATTAAAATAATTTTTTATGTGATTTTACTCGAATTTTTCTGATTTATTCGATTTTGACAAAAAAATGTATGGAAATTTAAATTTTTTTTTTTCATATAAATAAAAAATTTCATAGAATTTAATTTTAGAGTGAAAAATATTTTCAAAATTTAAGAAACAAGACCGTATTGATTATTCTTAGTAACACTTACGCTATGATTTTACCCACATAAAATAGAAAACGATAATCATATATTTATTGGACATTGAAATTTTATAAACAAAAATGTTGAGACTGTTATACATACTTTATTTGAGAATAATATTATAAAATTTAAATATTGTACTACCTTTTTATTATATTATATTAAAAACTCCAATATACTTGTAATATAAACTAAATTTTCTTCAGGTGTATAAGAGTACCTTACTTGTGGACTAAATTTTAGTTTAAATAATTATGGATTAGGTATAAATTTTGTTAAATTTAATTTTGCATATAATGAAAATTCTACTTTTTTAAAAACTTAAATTTTTTCAAAAATATTTTCATTAATCGTTCGTTTTCTTATTTTATGCAAGTAAAATATTCAAAAAAAGTTAGAATAATAATTAGAAATTTTAAAAAAGTTTAATAAACACAAAATTTTCATTTTTATAACAAATTATTTTCATAACAGTATTATTATTATTATCATACCAGCATAATGCAAAATGTTTAAAATTTACTTTGCATTTTAAATAACAATTTGACTCAATAATATTTTTAATTTGACATTTTACTAATACAAGAAGTAATTACAATTATTTGCAATATTTATGACATTAATTTTTTGATTAGTATTTTGACATTTGAAAATAAGAATTTTAGGTTTAAATTGTTTTTTTTTTTCTTGTTGTTATCCGCTCATTCAATTTCGCTATTTATATTATAAATTTGCCTACCTACACATATTTAATTTACACGTAGGTGAAATACAAAAAATGTTATCACTATATACAATATGAGAGAGAATTTTAAAGAGTGCAATGCAACATTTATTATCATTATTGTTACTATTAGTTTGTTATCATTTAAGTACATAGACAGTTATTATAGGTTATCAATTTTTGTTTCTTTTTTCATATACTTTCTGCTCATTATAAATTTCTTTTATATTGAAAATATATTTGAGAAAATAATTGAAAATTGCATTTCAAACAAATGCACGCACACATACACACACACAATTTTATTCGTGTAAACGAGTTTTTCTCTTGATTTAAAATTTTTTTTTTTTTTTGCTTTTCTTAATCTATTACTACTATTATTATTATTATTATTGTTATTATTATATGTATTTAATTCTCATGACACAATTCAATATTGAAAGTTAACAGAAAGAACACAAACATATGAACAACACATAGTTATAAGCCTAGCTATTGCAATCACAAAATAAATTTTAAATAATAAAAAATTAAATTCATTTATGCACCATACATTCATACACACTCTTTGTAATATATTTTCATATTAATATATATATATATGTATGAGTATTTAAATACAATTATATATATTGCTTTTATCTCTATACATACAAGATAATTATGCATTTTTTTTTTAGTGTTTTGACAGTTCATACCTTTATAAAATGATAACAAGAATAAAAAAAGAAAAGAGAAAAACAACAAAAAAAAAATAATAATAATAACATAAGAAAATGAAAAGAAAAATGTTAAATAAAAACAGAAAACGGTGAAGTTAAATGATGTGCAATTTATGACAATTCCAAATGTCAAAGACGCGCGCAATTTGAATTGTTTACTTTTTTAACAAAAATAACATTTAAAAATTAAACTATATTTGATTTTTTGTTTTTGTATGTTTGGTTTTTTTTTTTCGTATTATAAACAAAAAACGTTTGCTTTTTAAGCGGAATTTTAATTTCAATTAGAAAATCTTAAATGAAAATTTAATTGTTAATTTTTGTGTTTAATTAAAATATTTTAAATTTTCAACAATTTAATAAAATTTATGATATTAAATTTTTAAATTTAAATAATATTGTTTTTACTTACTTTTATATCAGTCCACATTGTTTTGTTATCTTCTTTTTAATATAGAATTTTTTTCTCTTTTTTGCAGACAATCTTATAAAATATTATTTGTTCTTTTCATTAATAAATATTTATTTTCAGAAGACATCATCATCATATTTTTAATTTTATTATTTTAAATTTTTAATACAGTATTTTAACTTTTTTATTAATTAAAAAGTAGTTTTTAGCTACTTGTTTTCAAAATACAATTTTGAATATTTTTATATGAACAAATTATGAAAACTTTTTTATTTTATTTTAAAATTAAAATATTATTTTTTATAATTTTCTTTTCTTATAATAAACAAAATTTTAATTAAATAACTGTAATAATAAAATTAAATTCTTGTTGTCTTTTATTTTTTTTTTTTTAAATTTTTTTTACTTATATTTTTATTCAAAAAATAAAAAATATATTTTCTTCTTTTACACTGTTTTGTTTTAAAATAACAAACTATTCATGATTTTATTTTTTGCATTTAATTTATAATATTTTTCCATTGATTTTATTAATTAAATCCATTTTTAGTAAATTGTGCTTTTACATTATTTTATAATAATTTTATTTATTAATATTTTCATTATTTTTTAATTTTCTGTGATAAAATTGTCTTTTTTTTATTTTACGAATTTCACATATTCAATTCAAATCAAAATTTTTATTTACACATTATACAATACATTTTGTTTCAGCTAACTCTATAATCACGTCTTATCTCGTGAACACCACATACTATACTGATACTGAATAAAGTGTGACTACAATTCATTCCTCTTGTGTGACGGTTTTGTGTATTTTACGTTTTTTTCTTTTTCTTTTTTCTTTATAATTTTTCTTTCTTCTTGATGTTTTTAATTTTTTATTATTTTCATATATACATGTACAATGTTATTTTATATTTAATGTAGATATATTTTCATTTTTATTTTCATATTTTCTTTTATGTTTTATAATTTTTCTTGTTTTCTTGTTTTTTGCTTTTTAAATTTTGCTTTTTTTTTTTGTGTTTCGAAAACTATGAAAGGTATAGCAGAGCTAGATTGTAGAAGAGCCGAGCAAAGCAACCAGGCAAGGCAGCTAAAAATTTATACAGCAAAAAAAAAAGAATGTGTATATGTGTATATGTTTTATAAATGAGAATAATGAAAAAAGATTAAATACAGTAGAGTTTATTTAAGAATATTGTATGAAAAGTGGTATTCAATTTGAGGGCCTTAAATTGAAAGGAAGTTTAATATATTTCAATCTACAGCTACATTATTATATTTTGCTTTTATTTAAAAAAGAGAGAAGATTGAATTCGTGTTTGTAGCGCAACTTAGGCCTCATATATTTAGAACAACATTGGAATAGAACTAAAAAAAATAGTACTTCCAATAAAGAAAGTCTATTTAAAATAAATATCGTAACCGAGAAGTGTTTTTAAACAAGGCAAATTTTCCAAAATAAAACGAACAACTGCACCAACAAATTCTGTTGCAAAAATTTCATAGAATTACAAGTTACATAAAACGGACAGGTTTGTGCGGTGCAATAAAACTAAATTAGAAATCAATTAAATCTTACAGTTAATAATTAAGAACTTAAAAATATTTGGGGTTTGAATATTTGACCCGAGAAATTTCAAATATGTATGTTAAAATTTTTATTGATTTATAATTAATATCGCAGAATTTTAATTGATATTTTATATATTTTCTCTTATAGTGATAATTGTAAATTTATTAAAAATATACATATATGTAGGTAGGTACACAAAATATTACAAACAACTGGAATATAAGTAATTTACTACGCCATTGAAATTGTATTGCTGAATATGTCAATTTTCGTAAGGTTTGAATTAAGCATATATTTTAGTAGTAAATGCATAATGCCTCAACATCGTACGCCATATGCGCAAGCAATACTAATAATAAATTTTTTTTTAAAAAATATCCAACATATTTCTAATATGTACGTTTATCTTTAACAATTAAATACCATTTCTAATTATTTAATTTCAAAAATTTATTTTTTAACTGAACAAGTTTATTAATTTTAATTTTTACTTATTTAATTTAGTCAAAGAAAAGTTATAGTTAAATGGATTTCACTGTATATGATGTAAATATGTGTGTGTGTGTAATGTTTTTATAAGGAAAAAATCTATAGATACAAAAATATGTTATTCTTATATTATACATACTGAATTTTTAGGTATTATAAAGTTAGCCTAGCTACAGTATAAAATACAGCAAAGCAAAACAGAGTGTTATTTTGAAGTTTTTAGTATACTCGTATGTAGGTTTGAATTAAAAAGAAGAAAAAACAAAAAAAAGCAGAAAAATTAAAAAAGGAAAACAAAAAAAAAATAATAATAACAGAAGAGAAAAAAAAAATGACAAGTATAATGATTATAGAAGCAAAGAGGCAGCTAGTTTTAATTGTAGTGATGGGTCTGATTTAAGTTATGTAAACGTAGCAAAACAATCAATTTGATAATTTTTTAATTTAAAAAGATTTTGAAATTATTTTAATTCATATTTCTGATATTTTATATATTATTTAATTTTACAATTGCTATTCATAATCTTTATTTAGTTTACATGAATATTGAATAAATGACGTTATTTCATTTGTCAATATAAATGACATTACGTAAATGACAAATAAATTGATACAAATATTATAGTTTTTTTTTTTCCAAAAATTTAATTAAATTTTAATCACTTTGTAATTGAAGATACAAATTTTCGATATAGACTATTTGATGCAAGTTTTTAAGTCTATATATTTAGATAATTAAAATTACAAGGAGTGAGAAATTTAGAAACAGAATATGAAAGTAATTAAAACATATAAATTAATTTAAAAAATAGTATTCCCAAGAGTATAATTTTTAATTAATTTTTTCGGAAATTTTAATTAAATATGTTTAATAAAATTTAATACATAATTAAAGATATTTAAAAATTTTTATATTCAAAAACAATATAATACGTATGTATGTTGACTTTTAATTAAGATCTTTTAAATTGTAATTTAACTTTCATATTCAAATCACTCTCATTAATACTGTGTTTTTAGCAAATATACTGTGCTGTCATCAGTTGTGTATTCCATAAAATTAGACATGATACATCTGGGGAATTGAATATAGCTGAAATACAGAATATTGAAATAAAATTAAAAATATTATTTAAATAATATTAATGTTAAGCATTTAAATTAAATTGAGATTTAATCGTTTTAAATTTATTGAATTTTTTCAAAAAACTTTTTTAATATACTGCATTTTTCTTTAATAAATTAAATTCCCATTAAATGAATTTTGAATAGTGCAATTATATTGCAATTTTTAAAACAGAATGTAGCTTACATTAAATCTTGTTTTTACTACATATTAAAATATTTCAAGGATCCATTACTAAAATTTTTGTTGTGTATACACAAAATATGACTACATCATGAGTATTGCGAGCGAACGAATGAACAAATGAATAAGGCAACAATAGCAGTAAAGTAAGAGCAGCAGCAATAGAAGTTTTTATTTTGTTTTTTTTTTTGTTTTTTAATATCAGAAAAAAATTTTTGTACTAAATATCTTATGTATGTGAGTATGTATATACAATATTTATGTATCCATAAGATATGTGTATATACATTCATAAATGTATCTATACAGCTACGAAAATAATATATATTCATATAATTATCTGTACATAAAAATTGTATATGTTAGAATGAAACCTCAAAATAAAAAAAATTTTTTTCTTTTTAATATTTTTGTTTTTTTATATGGGATAAAAAAAGATGAAAATATTTGAATTTATCGTAAGAGGAATCACAAAAGCAGACCGTAATACCGAGTATTTTCATTTACAAAATAAAAAAGAAAACAGAAAAAAAATAAAAATGAACAAAAAAATAACACAAAATAAATAAAATATCTACATAAATACATACATACATAGTATACATTTATGATATTAGGTATATGCGTATATATTCATACACATTATGTTTGTATATACACATTATATTATATGGTATGTAGAAATATTCACATTTTTTAAAAAATTCAAAAACAAAATGTTGTATGTTGGAAAATTTTTTTGCCACTCTTTCTTGTATTGTGTGTCTACAAATATAACGTTAAAATACTGAAATGAACTAAAATTTTGCTGTTCATACGTTATTTCTTCTTCATTTACAGTTAGCACAAAAGCCGAAAAATATGCAATTTTTAACTATCTTTAATTTGATAATATTTTATGGGATTAATTGAATTAATAGATCCATGTGTTCCTTGTTAATTTGAGCTAACATAGTTAGCTGCTTTTCACATTGAATATTATGTAAAATCTAAAAATATGGAAAGGAATTTCATCTCATATTTCAATTACTACTACTAGAACTGAATTTTCAAGCAACAAGAAAATGTAATATGTCAGCTAAAATTAATATGTCAGCTTAAATAAAGATAAAATTTATAAGTTGTCGTAAGAATGAATATATATCAAAGTTCGATATTTGACAATTTTCGATATTTGACAAATTTCCTAAAATGAATATCCAATATAATATGTTTTGTTCTATATACGTGTATAAATAATATTATAATAGTTATCGAAATTTAAGATTCATAACCTCAATATATTATTACACTAAATACATTAGTCGTTAGGATAAGCTCGTAATATAGCTCTAATAATGTTTAATTGCATATATTTATAATATTTGGACAGGACTAACTTAAATTGTCTGCAAAAATTTAAATCTGAAACAAATTAGAAAAAATCTGAACAAATAGTTTCAAACATCGTCAACGTTTATACCAGTTCGACAAGTTGTTATACTAGATATTTACAGAACCTCTTTCATTCGATATAATTTTTATTTCAAATTTTAAATGCCTGCTCGTAAAAATACCAATTGATCGATACCTGAAACAATAATTATGACAGGACGTCTGTCAAAACGCAAATGTAACGCAAACTTGACTCATTAGCAATACTGTTTTAATTACTGAATGAGTCAATGTCACATTAGATATGTATTTTTTGTAGATGTCCGAACCTCTTCAAACTTATTTATGTTTTATTTTGCATTTCAAATGTTAATAACAAACATTTTTTTCAAAATTTTCAGCTAAACGATTGCAAACCTTAATACTCATACATTACATATTTTATTTCAATATTATTTTTTTTTATTCTTTTTTTTTTAT